CCCACCCCCACTGCTGCTGTTCCACCTCTGACACCTCAGACACTTCACAACTCCTCTACTCACCCTGCTAACTATTCCCCACCCCCACCAACAGCACCCAATACACTCTCAACACAAGGCTCCAGCCTGTCTCTCTCAACCACCCAGGTTAGGAGGGAACTGAGGAGGATTAAAGCCAAGAAGGCAGTGGGTGCAGATGGCATCAGGGTCGTCAGGTCCTGCGCGGACCAACTGTGTGGGGTGATGAAGCACCCCACACACTCCTGAGGCTGGGGAGAGTCCCACAGCTCTGGGAAACCTCCTGTGTTGTTCCAGTGCCAAAGACTTCACGTCCCAAGGACCTCAACAGCTATAGGCGAGACCCTGGAGCGGCTGGTCCTGGCTCAGTTTCGGCACCTGGTGAGCTCATCACTGGACCCACTTCAGTTTGTCTACCAACTTGGCATTGGAGCAGATGATGCTGTCATTCACCTCATGCATCGTTCCCTCTCCCACCTGGAGATCGCTGGGACCACTGTGAGAATCATGTTCTTTGATTTCTCCAGTGCCTTCAACACTATTCTTCCCACGGTCCCTGAAGGACAAGCTGGAGAACTCAGGAGTGGACTATCACCTCACTACCTGGATTTTGGACTACCTCACCGACCGATTACAGTATGTGACAACTCAGGGCTGTGTGTCGGACAGGGTCGTCCGCAGTACGGGGGCCCCACAGGGGCCTCTTCACCATCTACACTGCAGACTTTTCCCACAACTCCACCCAGTGCTTTCTGCAGAAGTTCTCTGATGACTCTGCAATAGTCGGCCTCATCACTGATGGGGATGACATGGAGTACAGAGGACTGACCCTAGACTTTGTGGACTGGTGCCAGCTGAACTACCTCCAGATCAACACCAGTAAAACCAAGGAGCTGGTGGTAGACTTTCGCAGGCACAAACATCCTCCACTTCAACCACTGAACATCCAAGGTATGGACATTGAGGCTGTGGACAGCTACAGGTACCTTGGTGTTCATCTGAACAACAAATTGGACTGGACTCATAATTCAGAAGCCCTCTACAGGAAAGGACAGAGCAGGCTGTACCTGCTGTGGAGACTCAGGTCGTTTGGAGTGGAGGGCCCACTCCTGAAGACCTTCTATGACTCTGTGTTGGCCTGAGCTATCTTTTATGGTGTGGTCTGCTGGGGTGGCAGCATCTCTGCCAGGGATAGGAAGAGACTGAACAGGCTGATCCACAGGGCCAGCTTTGTTCCAGGATGCCATCTGGACCCAATGGAGGTGGTGAGTGACAGGAGAATGGTGGCTAAGCTGCCATCCCTGTTGGACAACATCTCCCACCCCATGCAGAAAACTCTGACAGCACTGAGCAGCTCCTTCAGTGGCAGGCTGCAGCACCCACGATGTAGGACGGAGAGATTTCGCAGGTCTTTCCTCCCCACTGCTGTCAGACTCCACAACAAAGACTTTAACTGATCAAACACACACATCCACAAATGTGCAATAAC